ATATATTACACACACACGCACACACATATGCATATATATATATATAGAACACATATATACATTATATATTGTGTAGTTTTAAAGAATGTTTATATTATACATACTACTATAGGGTAATACATATTATATAGAATATGTGTAGTATTAGAAAATGTGTATGTGTAGAAGTGTATGTGTGCCTAGAGATGTGTTTACATCTTTCTATTTGGAAGTGCGATAATATAGCAGATGGTTCTTAAACCTTCATAAATTCCTTTCAAAAACATTTATCTTTTTATAATGATGGACAAATTTTTAGGAAATACAGAAAAATTATAAAGAAGGAAATTAATCCATACTGCAGTGCCAGTAGATAACCACATTAATTTTTTTCTGTGCCAACATATACACATATGCAGATAGATGAGGCGAGGTTGTGGGGTAGGTAGGTTAATAGATGGGGAGGTGTCGAGGATGTATATATAGTGTCTGTGTTATATAAATGAAATGTACTGTACACATACACTATTATGCTTAATGTCATATTCTCACATCAGTAGAAGTCTTTATGTTAATACTATTTTATAGAAGCCAATGATTCTTAATAAATAAAAAAGCACAAATCAGCATATATATAAGCATAACTAACCTAACAAACATCACTTGATGGGCTAAATTTTTCTTCTGAGTTATATTAATAAAAGTCAGCATTCTGTATATGTACCGATAAATTCATTATTTATCACTTTTCTTACTCTGTTAATCCCCCACAGATCATATTTCAGCCTTTAGAAAATTAGCTGCCATATAACCAGAGACATAACTAAGTGCAGAGTTCCATGAATAACAAAGTGGTCAGTCACGAACCTATGAGCCTGAAACTTAGTCATTTGCAAGGGAACTTTTACTGCCCCCCTTTCTGGGACTTGGGAACATACCAGCAGGCAGCAGTGCAGTCTCAAATACCTCTCTGGACCCTACTTACCTTAAACTTGGCTGTACTTGGCAATTGTTAATTCAGGCCAGTTGTTGTCAATTGGAAGTGATTTTGAGCCCAGGAGACATTTGGCAGTGTCTGAAGGCATTTGGGATTACCGTAACTGGGGAAGGAGGTACTACTAGCATCTAATAGGTAGTAGCCAAAGATTCTGCTGATTGTCCTGTACTACATAGGACAGCCCTCCGTAACAAAGAATTATCAGGCCCCAAATATCAGATTGAGAAAGCGTTAGTTATACACTCCAGGTGTAGGGGATCCCTGGGTGGCTCAGCGGTTCGGCGCCTGCCTTTGGCCCAGGGCGCGATCCTGGAGTCCCGGGATCGAGTTCCGCATCGGGCTCCCGGCATGGAGCCTGCTTCTCCCTCTGCCTGTGTCTCTGCTTCTCTCTCTCTATCTGTGTCTATCATAAATAAATAAATCTTAAAAAAAAATACACTCTGGGTATAGGCTGACCCCGGGTGGGTGCTCGGGCATGTGGGCATCCATCCTGGGCCTGGCTCGAGGAACCTCACGGACTTTGTATCTGGAGACATGGCCTCTCCAGTGGCAAAGAATAAGAAATAATAATAATAATTTAAAAAAAAAGGAATGAAACTCACAAGATTTCCTTTCTTATGCCAGCCTTGCATCTGGATTTCTCCCCTCTCTGGATAATTGGAGTGGAAAAAGCAAGGGGTACTCCTGACACAGTGTGGAAAGAGCTCCTGTCTGAAAGATAGGAAGCAAGGGAGGATCCAAAGCATAGCTGTTTCATTGCCTTTGGGCTCATCCTGTCACTAAGGTCCTGCATTTGGGGCATTTAGGAGGTCTTAATACAACTCTTCTACAAAATGTTGTCAAGATTTGAGCTTAATTTTTAGAGTTCCTAGTTGAAGCAAGATTATTGGAGGAAGGCATTCAGCATATTGATTTTTTTTTGTACATTAGGTAAAGAGACATTTATTTCTGATAGAGGAAATGGCTATGTTAACTACTATAATGGCTTCCTTCACCATTGGGTGAATAGCAATAATAATTTGCTATTATTAGAATCCACTAATTATGGCTTGAGCCTGATATAGGATAAGAAAGATATAAAGCATAACTATATTTGAGTAGAGAATGTGAAATTGCATGATGTCTTACTATCATTGTGGGAGTTGGTCTTGGAATTTATTGTGACTAGACCAAGTCATAGTGGTTCACAGAGGTTGAGACATAGCATAGCAGTTAAGAGTCTGGCACAGGAACCACACTGCCTGGACCTCACAAAGGTCCAACACTGTCAAGTCTTATGGAGTGTAAGCATGGTACTTACCTTCTGTGCATTTCAGTCTCCTTATCTTTTAAATGGGCATGATAATATTCTTCATAGAGTTGTTATGAAGAGTATTAATATGTGTAAAGCACTTAGAACCATTGTTAGCCACTAGATTGTTTTTGTTTTTCTATTTCTGGCTGTTAAGTATCAGGGACTTAAAAGAGGAACCCTCTTGCACTGTTGGTAGGAATGCAAGCTGGCACAGCCACTCTGGAAAATAGTATGGAGGTTCCTTACAAAGTTAAAAGTAGAACTACGCTATGATCCAGCAATTATACTACTAGGGATTTACCCAAAGAATTAGAAAATACTAATTCAAAGGGATAAATGCACCCTGATGTTTATAGCAGCTTTATCTACAGTAGCCAAATTGTAGAAACAGCCCAAATGTCCATCGACTGCTGAATGGTTGAAGAAGATATAGTACATATGTACAGTGGAATATTAGCCACAAAAAAGAAAGAAGTCTTGCCATTTGCAATGACTTAAATGGAGCTAGAGGGTATTATGCTAAGTGAAATAAGTCAGAGAAAGACAAATACCAAATGATTTTACTCATAAATAGAATCTAAGAAAACAAATGAGCAAAGGGGAAAAAAAGAGAAAGAGACAAATCAAGAAATAGACTCTTAACTATACAGAACAAACTGATGGTTACTGGGGCGGGGGGGGGAGGTGAGTGTGGGGATGTGTGAAATAGATGATGGGGATTAAGGAGAGCACTTGTTATGATGAGCACTGGATGTTGTATGGAAGTGTTGAATCATTATATTGTTCCCTTGAAATTAATATATCACTGTACATTAACTGGAATTAAAATAAAAACTTAAAAAAATAAAATAACACACATAAATGAAAAGATAGCGATAACATCACTTCATTTCTATTTTGTTTTTACCACACATGTGATAAATGAAAGGTGTTGGTACAAATAGTGATTGTCAATCTTAATTAAACATAGTTGCCAAAGAAATTGGATTTCATTACAGAATAAAGTGGTCTGAAGATATTACTCAAGCAAAATTTGCCCTTGTGTCATTTTGTCTCTGGTAGATAAAAAAGCCAGTGAAGCTTCTAGTCTTTCTCTAAAATGGTGTTCACAAACTTCTAGGAAGAACAGCTGTTCTTTAATTTGTACTTTAATTCAGTGGAACTTTATTAGACTAAAATTAACCAAACCCCAGAGAGACCTGGAAGCATAAATGATTATCAAATGTTACGGATTCTAAATAGGACATTCTGGAAGACAAAGATGAAGGCTAACAATTTACATTTCATATTTAACTAAGGCATTCCCACAGAAAAAAAAAAGACAGCTAATTTGAATCAAATAATGGGATATTTCTTAGATAATAATATAATGAGTTACTTAAAAGAACTAACTAGTAATGGGTTTATTAAATCAAGCAAAAAAGTTTCATTTCTTTAAAACCACCTATTGTCAAAAATTTTATAGCTAACTTCATTTACAATGAAATTAAATGAAGGAACTACTTCTTTCAAGGTAGACATTGGTTTTCTCTATTTTGGTAGGAGTTGAAAATACTAGGTCAGTAGGTCTGACTATGATCAGCCTCTTAATCCTGTTTTAATTATGGGTTCTTTGCTACTTCTGATTTTACAGTTGTTATTTGGTGACTGACATTCAGACATTCACAGTAATTTTTAAAATATGCAATTTTACATAAGAGTCCCTCAAAGTGACCCTAAGATGAGAGTTTCTAGACATAATTACAGAGAGGAAGGAACTACCGACCTACAGTGAGTTGAAGGTTTCTAGGGCTATCTCATTTTCAGATTTTCCAGTTAAACACTGTGGCTGAGTTTCATGTTTCTGCTAGCTTGGGAGGGATGCAGAAGGGACACCTGGAAAGATTATCATGTGGACAGCACTTTTCTATTCTCGCTGCTGTATATTTGAAAATATCAGGGGCCAAATATGATTAACCTTATGCCTCTCTATAGAAACTTGAACCCTAAGTGTGCCTGCTGCTTCCGTACTCTGTTACTCTGTATTTTTTTGAGAACAGCTGTGCCTGTGGCTAGGTGTCATTTAGCAAAGAGGACATAAATATTTGTTGTGTCTTATCGTTTTTATTTAGGTTCAAAATCTGATTGCCAGTGAGTGATACTACCAAAGAAGCAAGCCTAAGGCATTAATTGGACAAAACGAAGTTTAATTCAATGATACTCATGTTAAATCACATTTCCCTAAATATAACATTTTTTTTCAGTGCCTTGTATCCAATTGACAATCTTGATCAATAACATTGTTTCCATGGTAAATTATCTCTTTTCAATTATATAAGCCAAATATTTCCCCCCAATTTTAGCATGTTTCTACACTAAGTCCTGTTTCTTCATCTGTAAAATGAAGGCATTAAGATCACATTATCTCTCAGTCTTTTCTGGTATCTAAGATCCCCTAAGTAATATCCAGCCTCTTTGGTTATTGAGACTGTTCTGCTGAATTTCCAAATATTAACAGGATGGCATGATTCCACCTAGCTAAAGGATCCTCTCTGGTGACCATGAGCAAATATGACTCCCAAGAATTCTTCAACCACCCATGGACACGGTGGTGGCCCCTTGTAGAGAGAGAAGACGAGCCTGTTAGAGGACCCATCATCCTGTCTTGCCAGCTGCATCTGTGTTTGGCCATCTGGGTGTAAACGTTAATCTGCTTTCTTCTCTCCACTCTTTCCATGTGCACATGAACAGAAAGGAGAACCTGACTGCTATGCACTCTCCTTGGAAACAACCGAGCAACTCACCTTCGAGATCCCCCTGAATGACTCAGGTTCTGCTGGTCTTGGTGTGAGCTTAAAAGGGAACAAGTCTCGAGAATCTGGAACAGACTTGGGAATCTTTATCAAATCCATCATCCACGGAGGTGCTGCTTTTAAGGTCAGTAGGACTAATGTTTGCATGTCAGTGTGAAGGTGCTTGAGATGTGGCTGTTTGATTGGAGACTGGGTGGAGAACTGAGACCACGAGGTTCTCCTGCAGATGCAGCAAGGGTATGCTTGGTATGCTCAGTTTTATTTCCTGGACGTTGTTCTCTAAAGCCATCATGATTAATATTCTTTCTCCCATTCCTTTTATTACTCTGTTAGGATTCCTCTGAATTTGTAACCTGACAGAGTTGAACCTAAAAATACACTCAGAAAAACAGAACTAAAAACAAGTCAACATGAAGGCAGCAAATAAGGAAATTGCTCTTGCAAGAATGAAGGCTCAGTGGACCCTGAGAGTGATCGTAGTATAAATTTAAGGTCATTGATCATATTATATGCACTTGGAGATAGCCCTGGAGCCAGGAATGCATGTTTGCCTTTGAACTTGGAAGAGCTTATAGATCTCCAGGGGAAAAAAGGAGAGAATGTGATTCTGCCTTTTTACATTGGGGTGAGCAGTGTGATCATTGCTATGAATGTAGTGTAATGGTTAACTAGATTGCCTGGGTTCAAGTCCAGCTTCATCCCTGTGTGCTCCAGCTAGCGCACCATTGCTAGCCATGTGGAATGTGGGCGAGGAACGTGACCTGCAATGCTCTCCTTTCTTCATCTCTGGAGTGCACATAATAGGTCATACCTAATTCAAACGTCCTAAGGATTAAATTAATACACACACAGATTAAAACAGCAAAGTGATTAGAGAGGGAGGAAAACATGTTTGTGCTTATTACCAGCCATCCTTCCCACCACCATCATGTCATGCCATGCCAAGTGACTTGAGTTTGAATCCTACCCAGACCACTCTCACTTGCTGTCGATGTGGGCAAGTTCCTTGCCTCAATATGCCTCAGTTTCCTTATTTGTAAGATTAATAGACCCTACCTCCTGGCGTTCTTAGGAGGACTAAGAGAGATACTGTATGTGTATTGCCCAGCACAGTGCCCATGATAAACTTTCAACAAATGTTAGCCATTTAAAATTAACCTGATGTTAATCACATGTGACTCCCACTAAACAAAAGCCAAAAAGGCCCATGTAGAGTTTACAGGAGCATCTCTGGTCCTAGAATCCTGGCTTTGTTGAAGCATTTATCTTTTCTCACTTATCATTCCATGTTTGTTTCAGACCTAGACACTGAGCTAATGCCTTTTTCCTTGGGAAATAAGAAATTCATTGTGGGTAGACAACTTTCTAATGTACTCCTTGGATCAGTTCATTTCTTTTTTTGCATAATAACTGATGACAAGATTTCAGTAACATGCATCAGTAGACCTTTATGCCCCTCACGGCTCTGCAGGACAGCTAAAGGGGCTGTGATTCAGACTGCTGTCTCTGTCACGCCATACATCTATAGGTCTGAATGTCCTCCAGGTACCTCACCTGCCTCCTGGACCAGTAGACTAGCTGGAACATGTTTTTCTCATGCTCTGGGGTGGCAGAGGGCCAGCAGCAAAGAGTGAAACCTTTTAAATCCTAGGCACACAATCCTTCCACTCACACATGTGCACATGCACGTGGACAGGTGCACCTCCAACCAAAGCAGTCATGTGGGTGAATCCAACCAAGGCCAAGGAGTGCCAAAAAAACCCCACAGTCTGCCCATGATGAAGCTGTGGCAAAGGTGTGACTACAGAGAAAGGTGGCAAATTGGGGCCAATTGTTCAGTCTGTCAGACTCTCCAATCTGGCTCAGATATGCAGAACCAGGAGCAAAGGGAAAATAATAGTAATAATGACAACAGCAGAGATTAGCCTTCATTGTGCTTAGTGCTTAATGTACGCTGGGTGCCGTGATAAGTACTTTAGGTGGATTCTCTAATTTTATTCTTCACATTTACACTGGATTGTTATCGTGTCATTCCATCAGAGGGAAATTGCCGATTATAACGGTCAGTGCCTCTCCTATAGTCACATAGCCAGGAATTGCTTAAACTAAGATTTGAACCCAGGCAGTCTGACTTCAGATCCTGAGCTACACTGCACTGCAATGAATCCTCCTTCATCTCATCCATTGATATTCCCAGAGATCAGGGACTGTTACCCTGGAGTTGTCTGGTATCATGCTTGTCATCCTTAGCCAAGCCATCTAAGCATGTGCTATGTTTAAGGATGAGTCTTGGTCATGTTTGTGGATACCAGATTGATATTACTCTTCTTATATTTAATGACAGTTCTGTTTGCAGAATTTATTCCAAGTAAAATTGGAACTGAAATGATTTTTTGGAAATTAAAAGCAAACATCTTAGTTTTTTTATGGGCAATAACTTAAGCTCAAGCAGATATTGGAGAGCAGGTTTAATATGTATATCCATGTTTGTGTAAGTGAGCATCTCCTTACCTAAGCAGTTTCTAACAGTCCTATTTCTTGAAGAAAGATTTCACTTTCCATTTATGTAAATTTCTTTCCTGACACTGGTCTGCTGAGTCAGACAATCACACCACTAAAAACCACTGGACAGCATATTTATAGCTGATCTTAAACAGTAAGAGGCATCAATCATGAATTCAGCCTTATTGTGAATGTTAGTGTCCATTTGTCTTGTTTACTTTTTTGCCGTGTAAAGGGGTAGGAGACTAAGCTTAGCTCACAGGAAATCTGATTAACCAGAAAAAGAGAGAGAGGAAAAAAGTATCTTTCTCTTCTGCTGCTGCTATGCCAATAATCTACTGTTACTCTTCAGAAAATTGCCACCTGTTCTGTGATTCAGGATTATGTCTTACAAAAATTGTTTTGAGACTTTGTTCCTGTCCCTGTTCAGAAGATGCAAATGTAACAGACTGCAGTGTCCCTGGGGCAAAGGGGAGATAAGCATGGGGAACATCCACTTTAGCATCTGGCCCTAGGTTTTTACGTAGAATCAACAAAATCATCTTTCTGCCAGAGCACGATCTCTTTCTTCTGGCCCTTCATACCACTAATTGGTTCTCAAGGTGTTTTTCCCTTTGGGGAAAGTGGATTCTTGAACACTAAACTACTTTGAAAAAGTATGACCAGATTCCTCCTGTGGATTCTGTAGGCTCTCTGCTCCTGGGGCTACTGTTGGTATAACCAAAGATAGGCTAGATGCAAAACCCCGAACCACTGTGAGACTGTGACTGTAATTGAGGGCCTCTTTTCATTTTCTCTCTCTCTCTCTCTCTCTTTCTCTCTCTCTCTCTCTCTATCTCTCTCTCTCTCTCTCTCTCCTTTTTACTTATCTCTTGGGCTACTGCTTTCTATCATTTCCTGTCTTGAGTTATTTCTGATGTAGATGTAAATATCTATTTTAGAAATAAAAGCATCTCGGATATTCTAGGATTCCCTCTTGGAAGTGAATGCCTCTCACTCTAGGGGCAAACTGAACAATATTTGTACTCTGAATAGAGTTACCCAAATGCTTAATCTCATTAATATATATTTATTTATTTATTTAAAGATTTTACTTATTTATTCATGAGAGACAGAGAGAGAGAGAGGCAGAGACACAGGCAGAGGGAGAAGCAGGCTTCAATCCTCATCCCGGGTCTCCAGGATCACACGCTGGGCCAAAGGTGGCGCTAAACCGCTGAGCCACCCAGGCTGCCCTCATTAATAGTTCAATTCCAGTCTGCGTATCAAGAAGTAAATCCCAGAAACTCTTCCCTGCTTGTGTGAGGACACATTTGCCATTTCAGACCACGTCAGCCCACGAAGTTCTTTGCAGACCCTTCTAAAGCTTCACTTTGAGCTATGCTTTTCAGTGTACAAAATGACCACTGACCTCAGTAGCCAAATATGAGTATTGATGCTAGTTTGCTTAAACAGTAACAGGTATTACATGTTTGTAATTTCATTTTAGTTTCTGTCATCCTTACTAGACATTTGCTGCTGGAGTACAGTGTAATTGCTCCCAGAACCAGAATATGCTGGATATAAGTTTATGGGTTTAACTTCTTATGAACAAGAACTGAGTGGCATTATGAGGTTCTTGAGGATGCTTTTCTAAAATTTCAATACTGTGATTGAAATTTAAAGTGAATATGGTGGTGTAGTTACTGTTAAATGCAAAGGAATATTGTCTTTCTTGCAGTTAGAAAAAAGTACCTTGAGAAAAATACTCTCCTTTCCGCAAACCCACATAAAAATTAACTTTTCCTTTCCTCCAATAAAGCACTCACAAAGTCTTGACAATCAGTTTGAAGACCTTCAATATTCTCATCCTCATTGGCTAAACATTTTGAATTCTGAGATCAGTGGTTTTCTTTTGCTTTGCTTTTCATAAATTACAGTAACTGAAATGTTTCAAGAGAAAATGCACTTTTACATCTATTAATTATAATAACTTAAGCTGCTTATTTCTCTTAGTTTTCTACCTTGAAAACCACTTTTAGGAAAAAACATAGCTATAATAGTGATATTGTTAAACAATTGAGGTAGAATATTACTATGCTGTAGTAAGAATAAAATCTCATAGAGTCTATTATATTAATTCTGAATGACATTTTTTATTTGAATATACAGACTTTGGGAGTAGAATATGTCCTACTGAAACCTTGAAATAATAAGGTAAAAATTAAAATTTAAAGGTAATTTTTGCTAAGGAAAAAAATGTCATGTATCAGATTATTTAAGGTCTCTAAAATGGAGAGAATGGATTTAAGAATAGCTGTTATTCTCTAGAAAATTAATTAGCCAGGTTTGTGCTTAATAAATACTACTTGATGATGATGAAATTAAATGAAAGAAAAATGCCTGACATAGCTAATTGCAAATGCATGCACTCAGAATATGAAATAGACATAATTTAAGTAATTTGATTCTGGTGTGCTTCGGAAATTTGGAATACTCCCTCTGAGAAATGCAGAATTTCACAATCTACACTATTTAGTTTGAGATAAAATAAAAATATCTAATACAAGCAATCTCCCTATTTTAAAATGTGAATTTTTAGAGTGAGTATACACAGCTCTAGAATTTCTGGGAACACAGTGC